ATTTTCCTTGTATTATTTTTATACCATAAAGATATTTATTATTTGCTTTCTATTTTCAAATTGGGACCGAAATGTCCCTAGTAACAAATTTCATTTGTACTTTAACCCTGTGCCTACTTAAGTGACCGTTATCGACAAAAAACGACAATTCGGTCGGCTGGTGGGGACTATGGACTGTGTATGTCAAAGTTCCTTGCTAACAACTTTTCTCGTGAACCTTTTTAACGGATTAATAAAAAATAGTTAAATTTGAAACATTGGGCACGCGAAATTATAGTTACGGCCCTGACGAAGAAGAGTACTGCGCACGCGTCCCCCCTCCAGTCAGCGACGCCTAGTCGGGCGGCTATATAAGCGGGAGCGCAACACGAATTCACGGAGATGAAGAGGTGATACCCCAGAGAGCGGTTCTACCGCAAAGGAATATATACCCTAAGTGGTAATACCACAGCTGATGAGGTTATACGTCGGATGTCTACTACCAAAAATTTTTAATATTCTGAGTAGACTTAAATTTTTTCTATTTCTGACAATAATTCATTTTTAAACAACTTAATTTTATTATACAACTGCCATAAAGTTGTTACTTTTAAATCATCTAATGAAGTATTTTTTTGAAAAACTTTAATTTCAATTCTGTTGAAATTAGTTTCAATTTTAAAAACTTTAACGCAATTAATTATTTGAAAGAATTAAACAATCTTTATAAATATTAAAATTGTTTATTTTTTTCCAGAAATTTAATTATTTTCAATAATTTTTTTAAATTCTTGTCAACATTTTAATTATCTTTATAAATATGTAGCAAATTTCTTCGCCGAAATTCAAGTTTATTTTTAGTAGGAATTTCTATAAAATTCATTGTAAAATTCAATTATTTTCATAAATAAGAATATTCATTACAAGAATGCAATTATTTTTAAAATTAATAAAATTCTTCACAGAAATTCAATTATTTTCAAAGAATCAAAAAAAAATTGTCGTCAACATTTTAATTATCTTTATAATTGAATAGCAAAGTTCTTCGACAAAATTCAATTATTTTCAAGAATTTTAATAAAATTCAATTGTATTTGTAAATATTTGTATTCGTCACAAGAATTCAATTATTTTTAAAAGTAATAAAATTCAATTATTTTCAAAAATTTTAATAAAATTCATGGTAAAATTTAAATTATTTTCAAAAATTTTTCTTTATTCAATGATTTTCAATATTCTACTATTTTAATAAAATTTTGACAATATTTTACGCGAACATTCAATTATTTTTCAAACAAATAAAAATTGCCTAGGAATTCAATTATTTATAATACAATTTGTATGAATTATTTTGAAAAAATCAAATGTTTAAAATTTTGGCATTAAATTTTTCGCAGTAATTCAATTATTTTCATAAATTTTAAAATTCTTTTCAGGGATTTAATTATTTTTATATAAATAAATAGAATCATTCGGAGGAAGTCAATTATTTTCATAAATAACAATATTAATCACACGAATTCAATTATTTTCAAAAATTTTTAACAAAATTCATTGCAAAATTTATATTATTTTCCAAAAATTGTTCTCAATTCCTGTAAAATTTCCATTATACATATATAATTTCATATACAAATTTTAATAATTTGTATATTAATTGAATATTAATTGTATATTAATTTTATAATTTGTATATGAAATTATATATAATGAAAATTTCACAGGAATCGAATTATCAAAAATAAAATTTGCATACATTTTTTCAAAAAAAAAACCAATTGTTTAAAACTTTTTTATAAAATTCTTCGCAATAATTTAATTATTTTCATAAATAATAAAGCTCATTGCAGAATTTTAATTATTTTTAGTGAAATTTATATCGAATTCCTTGAAAAATGTAATTATTCTTAAAAATGTTATTAAAATTCGTCAAAAGAAGTCAATTATTTAAAAATTCAATTTTAAAAAACATTTAATTATTTAATAAATTATCTATTTTTGTTTTTTTAAATAATTTGATTCCCTTAGAACTTTCAAATAAAAGTTGATTTATAAATGAATTTCAGTTAAAGTTTTAGATAATAATTGAATTTTGGAGAAATTATATATAATAATAATTGCAATTTTCAGAAATAATTGAATTTTGTAAAAGTTTCAAATTAATATTTTTGAAAATTACAATTTTTCATAATTTTCATTAAAAATTCTATGGAACTAATTTTTTTCAAAATGCTAAATCGCAATTTTTTAAAATTATTTCAAGTTTTTCTTTTCTAATGTATATATTTAATTGAAGAATTTCCAAATAATTCGAAATTTTTGGTAAAATTGAATTGTACAAATGGATTTGAAAATTCTCAAATAAGAACTTTTTCATAAATTATTAAAAATAATTAATTTGAAGAAGAATTTTATTCAAACATTTTAGAAAACAGTAATTGAATTCAAATGATAAAAATAATTTTTAAAAAGTTACAGTAACAATATATTCTTATATTATAATATAAAATAAGTTAATTTATTGATATTTTCGAATAATTTTAAACTTAAAGAAATTCGTAAATAAGTGCGATAGAACAATTTTTTTGAATTATCTTTTAACCCCTTCACAATCCAGTGAAAATAAAATTCTTGTGCCATAAATGTTCAAAAAAAAATTTTTTTTTTTAATATAACTTTGTTATATTGTATGTTTTTGGGGTCTCTGATTTAAAATCAGTGGTCGAAATTTCAAAATTCAAAATGGCAGCTTCAAAATGTCGACTAAAAAAATTTTAAAGTTAAAAAAAATCCTTAGGTATAAAATTTTTTTAGTTGCTTTTTTGAATTTTCGACCATGGATTTGTATTCAGCGACCCCGAAAAGCCACGAGTAGGCGTTTTCAGACAGATTCGTTAACTTTAAAATTTTCTTGGTCGCCATTTTGAAGCCGCCATTTTGAATTTGGAATTTTCGACAACGAATTTGAATTCTAGCCCGCTAAGATTCAAAATTAGATAATAATTAAATGACATGAAAGCAATGAAAAAAAAGTAAATAATGAACATGTCGTGACAAAATCACTTCATCACATCACAAAAAGTATAATAAATCTAAAAATTTATATATTTTAATAAAGAAACGGAACAATTGTATCATTATTCAGAGAAGGATAATATTTTTTCTCCACAGCTTAGAAGAATGTCTATTCAACATTTGTGGTGGTGTCAGGATATATGGATATATATTTTTTTTTAAAAAATCTTTCCTGCTCTTCCATTCAAGGAATACGAGGCGGAAAAGTCAGCACGCAGAGTGCCGTTGTGATGGAAGAGAGAGGATGGAATGGGATGTTCGAATAATGCGGATAAAGACGGATGTAGCTTGTTAGGGGATGAATGAAAAGTTGTCAAGACCGTCCAATTAATGTCAACTCTTCAACTAAAGCTTATCTTAGCTTACAAGAAAGCCTTCTTTTTCTTTCGCTTCCCTATTGCACTAACATTTTTTTTCTACTTTTCTATCTATTGACTTCCTTTTTTATTTATATCGCCAATCTATAGTGATTTTTTTCCTAATAAAAATGTTCATATCCTCTAGATCGAAAGCAAAGGAAATAAAATTTTGAAAAAAGTGGCCAAAATTTGAAAAATATCAAAAAAATCAAAATATTAAGAAATTAAAGTGAAAAGAACAAATTCTTATCTTAGTGGTAAGAGCTCGCAGCAGCTTGATGCACCTGGGAATTGATTGAACCAAGATTTAAGAAAAATAAATATTTAAAAAAAAGTTTATTCATGAATAGGAAAAAGTAACTTTTTTTCCTCACATGAAAACGAAAATTGTAAAAATTTCAATTTAACAGTAAATTTTTGTTCATCGGGCATATAGCTTTATACGAAATAGAAAAGAAGATAAGCTTGAACAAGATACGTATTACAGTGTCTCTTATATTCTGAGATAAATAGGAAAATGGGGACAGATTGTCAACTTTATTACGACGTCCCGTACTTTAGCTAAATCCTGTCTGTAAATCGTTTCAGCGTATTGAAAATATATATCTAGCTGCTTGGGAAAAACTAATTAAAAATATTTCAATTAGAAAAAAGAAAACAAAGATTCCTAACAATGACAATATAAAAGTTTTAATTTTGCACAACATGAAGAAGACAGGCAATAAAAATAATTTACGACAAACAAAAAAAGTTTGTTTTAAACAAAACAAATTTTTACTTTTTAAGGAAAATTTTATTTATTTAGGAAAATTAATGGAAAATTTATTTAAAAAAAGAAAATACCCTTTTACGCTCAACTTGATTTTGAATGCTCTTCAAATGCAGAAAGATAAGTTGCTGAGTACGAGAGAAAACGCAAAATATATGGAAGAACTTGTTGAAAATATATTGCACATTCAATATTTTAAATTCAACAACCCACTTCGAATTTTTCTTTTGTTATTTCTTTAAGTCATAAATTTAAAGAGTATTCTAAAGATTCTTTGGAATAATACTATTTATTCGAAAATGGCTGATTGTGAATTTGTATAACAAAAATAGCGCTGCTATATATTGCTAAAAGAATTTCTTACCTGAAAAATTTTCAGAAGAAATTTGTTGGCACTTACCTGAAACAAAAAAGAAAAAAAAACAATTTTACTGCTTCGCTTATTTTCAAACATTAACTTTCATAATATAAAAAAATCCGTCGGTAGTAGGGGTAAAATCGATGATTCTTAGCCCAATTTATAAAATTTAAAATGGCGGATTCAATATGTCGGATGACCGAACCGGAAGTCGAATATAAATAAATATTTTCATATTGTAAAATAAAAATATTTTTCTTTCTTTTATCTAATATATTTGTTTTTCCTTCTCTTATCTCTGTAACAAATTCAAAGTCTATCTTATTTTAAAGTGATCAATTTAAATGTATAATGATTTTATATTTATGAAATCAATAAATATTATCATTTTCTGATTCGTACGTAAAAGACAATTAAATCAATCTTATCTAATCTCAAATTTATATTATATCTATATAACGAGAGACATAATTGAAAATTTTTGTCAGCATAAATAACATAAATTTTCCAACTTCGCGCAGTTTTGGTTTTTATGAACAGAAAATTATATTACCAAAAGAAGAAAATAAAAATAATCGAAAAATGTTTTTACTGCATTTAATCTCAGCTCTTTGTATATTTATTAATAATGGAGAAAGTTTTGGATTTCGGGGTTTATTTTATGAAGGATTAAAAGAGCCTGATTCCTCATTTTGGAGAAATACCACTTTGACTAGTGAAAAATGGATAACACAAATGGTGGATCATTTTCATATTCAAGATACTCGTACATGGAAAATGGTATTTTCTATATTTAATTTTATTTTATATTTCATTTATGAATTTAAATAAAATAATTAGTATTATAAATAATAGAAAAATTAAAGTTAAAAAAAAATTGTCAGTACAAGAAACTCATAAAAGAAATTATTGTAATTTCTAAGTTAATTTTATAATAATTATAATAATGAATAACTTTATAGACATTTAATTATAGTTAATTAAAAGTATACAATTATGCTGTACATACATATGTACCATATATTATGTACACGTGTACTATGCACATTTAATTATAACTTTACATTTAAACATCAAATTTCAAATTGTAACCAACGAGTTTATAATAATTGAGGCATTCTATTTCAAACTCTCTCTCTCTGCAAGTCATTATATTATTTAAATAAACAAATTTTAAATCATCAATTATTTTTAAATATTTCATGTAAAAAAGTATCTATATTGCACTTGTGAATGAAAAATTTATTCAAAGAATTACAAAGAAAAGAAAATTTTTTAATTCTCTAATCGCAATTATTAATTTTTTCACATAATTAATTTTTTCAATATCTACTTTAATAAAAAATCTTCATCATCATAGATAAAATTTTTATCGCACTTAAATTGATGGATTATTGACATTAATTTGTCTATAAAAATACAAATGTATTCTATTATCATTCATCTTTTATCATTAAAAAAATTATCAGCGATGATTAAATGCACATTGTTAATTGACAAATAATAATTAAATTATTCTCAAAAAATTGTAGTCAGGATTATTCCGGACATAATAGTGAAATATTTTTATTTTAATTCCACGACGTTTCGACGCCAACGTTGGTGTCCTCTTCAGGTGTTACATTTAATAAATAATTTGTTAAAATTCATTTTTTTTTTGTTTTTTTTTAATTAATAGAAAAATCTTAAACTTTCCTCGACACTTGTCACATGTTTATTTGAAATTATGAAAAACAAAATTATAACGATGTGAATGTTAAAATAAAAACATGTTTTTCTATTTAAAAAAAATTTTATGATCGCCATATTGGATCCGCCATTTTGAATTTTTGAAAACTGACATCGGATTTGTAATCAACCCCAAAAACCCCCAAGTGACAAATTTCAAGCGATTTTAATTTCCAAATGATAGAAAATATACGAATAATGTATTAAAAAAATATAATATTCTTTTTCAATTTTTTGTTTTCACTAAAATCATTTTCACACTATAAATATAATTTTTATTTTATATTTCTCTATATACCTGTCTATGTGTATAGCGTTACCTCGAAAATGATGGATATTTTAACGGCACTGGTCCAATTTTAATAATGTTGGGTGGCGAATGGACTATTAATCCCGGATTTTTGAATGCGGGATTAATGCATGGAATAGGCGCTCAACATGGAGCGTTGATGTACTACACGGAACATCGATTTTATGGCAGAAGTAGACCCTTCGAGTACGTTTACCATGTATTGTTTTTATTTTTTCATTTTTATGAAAAAGTTTTTTGTTGCAGGAAAAATATTTAAAAAAAAAAAAATGTAATAATAAAAAAAAAACCGCACAAAATACAAAGTGAATAATGAAAAGCATTTTTTTTTTCCCCACATTGTAGAAACGTCAGTACAAAAAATTTAAAATATTTAAATGTAGACCAAGCATTAGCGGATGTGGCATATTTCATAGAAACCGTCAAGCGAGAAAGAAAGCTCAACAATACAATGGTCATTGTTTTTGGTGGATCATATGCTGGAAATATGGCAGTGTGGATGAGGCAAAAATATCCACATTTAGTTCAAGTATTCAAAATCCACATATATATATATATATATATATCAAAATATACATATTTATAAAATACATAAAGAAAAATTTTAAAAAATTAATAAATTAAAATTTTCAGTAAGAGAAGAAAAATAATTTTTTAAACACTATTACGTGTTTCGACATAAAATTATTTTAAGTTCATTTTTTAAATTCAGATTACGTTTTTTTAATATTTTACAGGGAGCTTTGGCCAGCAGTGCTCCAGTGCACGCAAAGGCAAACTTCTACGGTAAATTTACTGAAAATAGAACGAACATATTTTACGATATTTATATATTTCATAACAACAATATAAAAATTAATCCTAATGTGAAAATTTTTAAAAGTTCTTCATTATTTGCAAAAGTAACTGTAACAGTTTGATTTCAATTGCAGAATATTTGGATGTAGTTACAGCATCATTGAGAAAATACAGTAAACAATGTGTTATTGAAATTAGAAAAGCCATCGACTCGGTGGAAGCTCTTGTCCGCTCAAAGGTGGGAAAGGAAACAATTAAAGAAGAGTTCAAGTAAGTTGCATACTTTCATCACTTTAATTTATTTATTTAGACCCTGTTCTTTCGAGTAAATTTAGAATTTTATAGATGATCCTATTTTTCAGCTTATGCAACGTTCCTGATACTTCAACTCTCAGCGGTAAAGGAATATTTTTCGAGTTCCTCACAGAGGTAAACGATTTTTCTTATAGATTATTTGAACTGTTATTCAGTATTTACTATTTAATATTAATTGTATGAAAACTTTTCAGACATTTTCAAGTATCGTTCAGTATAATGCGATGATAAGTGGTAAATCTGCAATTGCAAATGCATGCGATAAAATGACCAATATAACATTAGGAACACCTTTTCAAAGATTGGCGAAAATTGTGAATAATAAAAAAGCATGTACAGACATTGATTACAGTTCCCTGCTTAAATTACTTCAAAACGAATCTTGGAATTCTAACATCAGTAAGTAACTTTTTTCTAGTCTTTTTCTTTTTTATTAAATATTCAAATTGTCCTGTCTTATAATTTTTTTGTAGTAATTAACTTGTTACCTTTGTAATCACCTTGTTTATAGTGAGGCAATGGATATTCCAAACTTGCACCGAATATGGTTTCTTTCAAACAACAGAGTCAAAAAATTGTATATTTGGTCCTCATTTAACTTACGAATACTTTACAAAACTCTGCAAAGATGTTTATGGCGATGAGTAAGTAAATTTTATTATTTAGAAATTTGAATGCGTCATACAGCATAGCTACCGTGTTTTTTTTTTTTTTTTTTTTTTTCTTAAATGACTTGAGGCTTGGCCAACTGTCAGAACACACACTCTTATATACCAACTTGATTTTGCGTTTCTACAGAACGACTTTGAGGTTAGGAGTACTCGCATTTGCCTGGACCACCCGTCTAAATGGGTTTTCTCGCCAGTGGAGAGGGAAACTGTAGAAAACCTCTCCGAGTACAACCGGTTTATCGACAGTCGAATTCTAATGGTGTGTACCGGACAATAATCGACGGTGCACATCATTATACTTCGACGTCAAACCTCCCGCTCAGATTATCTCACGTGCCGGAAAAATCCCAGGCTAATGGGCGCGAACCAAGTACCCTTGATCCGCCCACCGAGCCAGGCACCTATCCGACCGAGCTAATCTGTTAGCTACCGTGTTCGCGAACAGCTCAAAGGCAGAGAGGAAGAGACTTACGACAGCGCACGAAGTTCGCGCCGCTTGCCTTTTCCCCCACCACTCGCTCTCTTCGCGCTGGTATAAATACCCGCACGCTCTGTCTTTTCGATCAGTGCAGAGATGCCATTGGGCGGAGGAATTTCATCCCCACTCTTGCACCATTTTACATTTAAGTCAATGTAAAATGGCGCAAGAGTGGGGATGAAATTCCTCCGCCTAATGGCATCTCTGGATCAGTGCGCCTGACGACTTTCCTCGAGGTGCACCTCGGAACTCAACCCTGAATACTTTCTATTCAGGGGCTTGATTTTTAAAACTATGACTCTAGGTATCGCATGGTATATCAAATGCGACATGATGAATGGTATTCTTGAATCACTTGTGACGTCTTAGTCGCGTTCGTTACGATAGATCATGGGATGAATTCTAGACTAGTTCCGTAACTTTAAATAAATAAATTTTGTTCAATACAATTTTTGAATGTTTACATTATTATTTGCAATTAAAGAAAAAGTTTGCAAACAATTTGAATACACATCGAAATTTGATGATGCACTTCAGGGAGTCTGAGTAGAATCAAGGGTAATTAAAAATTAAATAAGATAATAATATTCATTTTAGGTACACGCAAATATTACTAAATGAAGGAATAAAGCGAACGAATGTCATGTACGGTGGTAGAATACCAGATGTTCAAAATGTTCTTTTTGTCAATGGGAATCTAGATCCCTGGCATGCTCTTTCAATTTTAGATAATCTTAATGAAGCGTCGCCGTCAATTTTCATAAAAGGTAATCAAAATTCAGAAAGCTTGTTAATAATTAAGTTAATAATTAATTAATTACTGACTTCTTTTGTATCTCTTAATTTTTAGGATCATCTCATTGTATGGATCTTCAAGTTGATCGTCCAACGGACACTGAAGATTTAAAGAATGCAAGAATTCGTGAAAGGGAAATAATTGTAAAATGGATCAAGGCATGGAAGAAAAAAGTACCACCAGCGATTATTGATCATTAAGAAATTTTTTTTTAATTTGTGATAACTTTTTAATAAATATAATTTTCATGTTACGTTTATTTGAATTTACATATTCTTCAATTTCTTTCTAGTTACATAATGGACCTTAACATTTTTTTTTATTCTCTCTACAAAGTAGAATAGGAAATTGTTGAAAATATCTTTTTTCTCAATTCAACACGAGACTCAAGTTTCCTAAATAAATTGCAGGGAACGAAAACGTTTTAAAATCGTTACTCGCGCGTGATAAGAGTAAAGTGAGAGACGGTAGTCGTTAAGCAAATTAAATGCACACGCCCCTGTTTTGTCCTCTCTCGTTTATGTGTCACGCTTTATAGAGGCATTCAACTTTAATCACGAACGCCTACAATATCTTTTAGGTATTTTCTTTTGGATTCGCGAGAAGAGAGAAAAAAATTGTGTCAAAATTTTCATTCTCATTTGTGTAATTTGTATATTTTTCTTCTCTCTCTCTCTCTCTCTCTCTCTCTCTCTCTCTCTCTCTCTCTACCACTGAATATTTATATTTTCTACTTGAAGAGGATTACAATTGTTTGTGGAAAAAAAATTCGTAATGAACACAATCTTTGTAAAAAAAAAAAGAAGAAGGGGGAAAAAAAATTGGAAGCAGGAAAATTCCGTTGCTGCAACTTTTTTATCCGACCACGTATAATATCGTGATGAAACTTTTTACACAGTTATGGGATTGAACTTTGGCCCCGCGGGCGTCTCAAGGTACTTGGCTCATAATCATCGTTCCAACTATATTCCATGGTACGTGACACTTATAGTTCAGGCAAATACAGAAAGCTCGAAATGAATTAGAAACATATCCCCGAAGGATGTTACTTTTCAGACTATTAATAATTGTACTTGCATTTGCGATTACTTACTGCGAAGATAATTTTAGTTATATAAAACATTTTTGACAAAAGCAATTAAGGGGGACTACCCTCAACCGTTACCACCAAAACGCTTTACATTAGTTATCAAAAGAAAAGAATATTCAAAATCAAAAGCGAAGAATGAATTTTGTTTTAAATTTTGTATTAAGAAAATTTATGAGGCACACCTTAAATCTAGAGTTGAAAATAACGTTGGGAAATACTTCTCTTTAGGTGAGATTTACGCAAGGAAGCGAATTCGACATTAGATACAGCTGCTTCCTGGTAAAGCCAGTCGTGAGCCTGTCTAGCTCTAGCTTATAGTTTATGCCCCTGCATTAACATAGAATTCTCTCTCTCCCTCACTCCCATCTCGACGCGAAATATACGAATCGGCCGAACCTTCCTTATACTTCAGCAGATATTACAGAGACATTTTCCTGAGCACGAAGAACGGCAACATTTTCACTGGCAAGGAAGGGAAATTCACATTTAAAATTTCGTCCTCAAAATTTAGGAGAAGCTTTTGTAGGAAAAGAAACTCGCGACTCTGTGATAAAAATGAAAAAAATGATATATCTTAAATTCTAAATTGTAATTTTGCCGCCCATATATATTGTGCACTTCGAGGCGGCGCGGCAGTTTGCCAGTTCACAGAATTTATAATTAATCTCTGAAATAATCCACCAGAATGGTAATTATTAATTTTTCCAAAAGATGTACCCCTCTTCAACTCATATTTAAACACAGTATCCAACGAGATGTCGGTTGGTTTTGTGTCCAATCGTCACTTTTTAAAAAAAAATTATATTTTCTAATAAAAGCGGGAAAAACAGAGAACCGACTTCAGCTACTTGAAAAAAAAACAATTACAAGTTCGAACTTGCTCACAGAGAAAAAAGAAAGTAGAAAAGAAGATGAAACTTCCCTGATTCGAAAAGAAAGAACGACCAACTCTTTGTGGAAAGAACGTTAAGAAAGACAGCGAAAGAAAGCAGGAAGAATAGTGGCAAAGGGAAACTTGCTCCGCCTCAGGATCGATCTGTTAAAACTTTCTGGCTTGATAACGATTCTTATAATCTAACCACTGAATATTTTTTCTAAAAGAATTTTTCTACTAATTTATCTAACATTTCGAATATTTAAAAGCACATAAAAAACAGAATATCGAATAATTAATTTATTCATACCATATCCTAGACATCAATTTCCTCACATAAATCAATACGTCCACATTAAGGACCATTCGTAATTAAGGACGAGCCATCTATCCTTCAGTATCATTGTTACATCCGGAATTTAAACTGAAACCCAGTTACCAGTTCTGTGTACATATATCTGTCAATCTCGTCTATATCTAAATTGATATAATGTCATATGCCTAGGTGAAATTGTTCATATATAACGAATAAAAGATTTATAGCATTATTATTAAAGTATGTCAGCATATTAACCCTGTCAATAATGTTTACACATTTAATTCTATAATTGAACTGGAATAATTGTCGTGATTAAATTTTGAATTGATCCTAATGACACTATGATCATTAGAGACAAGTATCAACTACAATGGGAAATGATGATATTGATTGAATGTTATCGATGCTAATTTCTAGTGTCAATTTGATGTTTAATTACAAACCATACGTCGAGATAGTACCATCACAAGACAATTATAATTACAGTATGATGAAATTTGCGTTATAATTGGGTTTTATGATTAGCTTTAATTTTTTACTGGAATGGTTATGGATTAGAAAATATTTTAACATAATTTAAAAGTATTATTTTAAAATTATTCTTAGAGTCGTAGACCTAACAAGCGATACATCCTTTAGTGTGAGGTCGAAGAATTGACGTTGTCTAGCGGAAACAAAGAATGCAGTAGATTTCCCTCGAATTGTTTTCGGGCCAGCTAAAGTAAAAGGTTTGGAGTCCTGGTGTCGATGTAAATTAGATATAACACTCCTCAGCCTAGGAGTGAGCGAATTATTGATTTGACGTTGAAGTCGAAGTAATGCAGTCCTTAGAAAAATAGAAATGTGCCTCTCAGTAGAAATTATCTCGTTGAATGAACTTGACTATGACGAGACTCGAAGAATACACTCGGTACTTGAAGAGATTTTCTGGACTGAAGTCGAAGAAGAAACTCGATGACAGTTTACAACTAGTTACTTGATCGTGGTTGCTGGATTGACTTTGACACGAAGAAGACAGGTAGTTGATTCAGTAGCGACTTCTGGATTGATACAACATTCTTAGTATATCTTTAAGACATCCTCCTGCCCACTGGGTTAAATCTAAAAATTCTTTTCTAGATATTACAAAATTAGATTATCCATCGCTTCAAAATTTGTCGTCAATTCTTCATTTCGTTCAAAAATCATGTCCCATTTATGTTTATAGTGTATATACACCATTTTCCAAAGGCTTGGGTGCACATTCTCGGAAAAAGGCAAGTTCAAAAAAAAAGAGAATAAACAGCAGGATTCGTAGTTCTGAAGAAACTTGGACGAATCTAAAAATTGGACGACTTGTTCGGACGCTTACGAGGCTGGGACGTGTGCGGCTTACGTTGAATCCTGCAATCCAATGTCTGCTTTTGAGACTGGTGGGAAGGGTTAGAGGGCAACCTCGGCAATGGAAGCCTGAAGGAGAATTTCGTATCGGATGTATCGACTGAAGCAGCTTTAGAGGAAGCGGTAAAGAAAAACAAAAGTAAAAAAAAAAGAGAAAACGAACGAAATAAGAACGAAGACCTAGTGTGCTGACAGACAGGTTACAGGACAAAACTTTTTATTTCTAACCATTGAAAAAGAAAGAGAAAAAACACATCATCCCATGAGTAGACGACGTTGACATTTCCCAGAGTCCAGTTTACTTTTCATCTTCTTGTATCCTTTGTTCTTATTCCACCGGATATTTTCATAATCTTGACTCATCGTTTTATATCAACCTGGTATAATTACCTTCGAGTGCGAGTGGAGTACGAATACAAATTACAAATATATAAATAAATAACTTTTCAATTTAAGAGTTTTGTGGTTAAATACTGGACTGAAAATACTTTAGAAATCAAGGCATACATATAATATTTTAGTTAAACCAACCTGATGTATGGAAATCATTATTCTGACAATATTTAAGATTATTACCGTCCTTTATAACCTGAGGATTATAAAGTCAGTTAATTTAGGTCATTATAATATAAACTGTGAATTGATGTCACCACCCGTCATCGATTTTCAATGGTCATGATTCATCAATAACAATCAAATAGATACTATTTACTTCGATTAGAATATAATATTCAGTGGAATTCTTCATTTATTCTTCTTTTGGAATTTTAGAAAAATTTGTAAAACGTTTAATGAATATGATGAAAAGCAAATGTTTGATAATGGAAAAGCTAGAGGAAATGATGTTATTGATTTCAGATTGAATCGCACTGACTAGTAAGATTATTAAGCAAACAGGTTCTTCGATTACTACCTTCACCTAAACATACGTCGCTTTATGGAGCCCTATACCAGTTCGTGTTTACTGAGTATACGCTGTTACGATTCGGGATATGCTCTTGAGCTAAAGTAAGTAACATATACCCACGCGCGTACTATAGGGAATCAATACATTTTCGATTTAGTATTCACGTCAAATTCAAGGCAGAAACTGACATGTTTTCATTTACACGCGACTGACAAATAAAATTTAAACTTCAAAATGAATCTTCATAGAAGAAAAGTTTAGATTTAGTAATGATCAGTTTTTTTATAATCTCCTAAACAGACTCAAGACTCATTAAATGACTTGAAATTATGATCATATTTTTCAAACTGGGAGGACAGATCGATTTATCTGAAATTTTGATAGTAGATCATAAAACTTTTTGCTATTCTGTTCTGGGTCCCATACTAGTTTTCCTTTTTGATTCATAATGATGAAGCTAAGACCCCTTATAGTAAGTACGATTTTGAGCATTTAGCATTGAACTAGGACTAGAGGAAAAAGTACTTTGGCAATGGAAGTGGTAGCGTGAGGCGAAGCAGAGAACCCATGTACTTTTTCTCAAGTTAATCGTTCTCAGTAGAAAACGAGGCATCAGGGCGTTTCGGTGGATATAAAAAGAATTCTTCATCTTACCCCTCTGACCTACCTCATCATAGGGTTGTATCCTTAGGGATTAAT